GGGCTGGCTTTGAACCAAGATCCTCAGATCTCAGCCTCCTAAGTAGCTAGGATTACAGGCATGGGCTACCGGGCACCTGTCTAAAATCTTTTAATGACAACAGCTATGTTACATAATGACTTTATAAAGGACTTTTATTCCATATTCTCTCACAGCAGTTTAATTGTGGGTTTCTTCTTTGTAAAAATTACCAAATTTTATAATTTTATGCCTTTTTTCTTTATTTTTGCCAGTCATGGGGCTTGAACTTAGGGCCTGGGCACTGTCCCTGAGTTCTTTCGCCCAAGGCTAGTGCTCTACTAAGTTGAACCATGGCACCTGGTTTTCTGGAGGTTAATTGGAGAGAAGAGTTTCACAAGCTGGGTGCTGGTGGCTCATGCCTGTAATCCTAGCTCAGGAGGGTGAGATCTGAGGATCGTGGTTCAAAGCCAGCCCAGGCAGGAAAGACCGTGAAACTCTTATCCCCAATAAACCACCAGAAAACCCGAAGTGGTGCTGTGGCTCAATGGTAGAGGGCTTGCCTTGAGCTGAAGAGCTGAGGGACAGCACCCAGGCCCAGAGTTCAAGCCTCACAACCAACAACAACAACAACAAAGTCTCAGACTTTCCTATCTGGGATGGCTTTGAACTGTGATGATTAGATCTCAGCCTTCAAAGCAGCTATGATTACAGGCAATAAGCCACTGGTGCTCAGTTTAGTCAGTGTGTTTCTGATTTATACTTTGTAAAGGGAATGAAATCAGATGAGTGAGAGGCTAGCATGTTTTTCAGTTTTCTCTCTCACATTGTGATCTTGTTAAAATTTTAAATTACTAATTTACACTTATTAAGTAATATTATGCCAATCATCATGCTAGGCTTTAGCATACTAGTGTGAATAGCAAATATTCCTCAGCCCTTTTCATTGGAAAACCTGTTTCTGATCTCTAGGGATTAATAATCCAGTGGGCACTGGCCTAGTGTATATTTAAAAAAAAGGATAGAGGGAGATGAAGTTGACGAAAGTAGGCAAGAGAGAAGCATGTGGTTCTAGAAAATCTGAATTGAGAAGCCAGTGGTAGTTTTTAAGCAGGAACATAGCAAGATCAGTTTTTTGATTTTTTTTTTTTTGGGTCTGGTCGTGGGGCCTGAACTCTGGGCCTGGGCACTGTCCCTCAGTTCTTCAGCTCAAGGCTAGTGCTCTACCACTTGAGCCACAGCGCCACTTCTGGCTTTTTTCTTTTTGCTTATGTGGTGCCGAGGAATCAGACCCAGGGCCTCATGCATGCAAGGCAAGCGCTCTACCACTGAGCCACCTTCCCAGCCCCGTTCTTTTTTCTTTTTTCCAGGGCTGGGCTTGAACTCAGGGCCTGGGCTCTAGCCCTGAGCCTCTCTGTTCTCAAGGCTATGCTCTACCACTTGAGCCACAGCGCCACTTCTGGCTTTTTTCTTTTTGCTTATGTGGTGCTGAGGAATCGAACCCAGGGCCTTGAGCATGCAAGGCAAGCGCTCTACCACTGAGCCACCTTCCCAGCCCCAGCAAGATCAGTTTTATTTCTCAGTAAATAAACTTTTGGTATAATTATGGAAGGTGGCCCAGAGTAAGGAAACCAAAGATAGGGAAATTAGTTACAATACTCAGAGATGAGGCCTGAGAGGAGTTGAAGTACTGGTAACCTTATAAACCTGACTGCCATTGCTTAGTTTCTACTCTTATCCCTGGCCCCAGTCAAAGAAGCTCTGACACAATAACACACAGATGGAGTCGTAGGTAGGAAGGCAAGACAGAAGCAGAGACTGAGGAGGGCAAGAAAAAAATGCAAACCATGGAGCTACACAGTTCATGGTCTTTGTTATTTTTAAAGGATCAAGTTAAACATCTTGGAAAAATTCTGTGTAAGCTGGAGTTCTTATATTGAATTTCAATGTGATTTTTTTCTCTATTCCTTTGATGGTAGAGATTAAGAATTTCCATATGAATACAAAGAATGAAACAACAGTCATTCTTAGCTCCATGTTCTCTGATTTTAATGCTTCACACTAGTGTGGGTAGCAAATGTTCCTTGGGCCCCCTCAGTTAGAAAACAAGTCAGTTCCCTTTGAAGAAGTGACAAAGCACAGGCAGCTGGAGTATTTCAGGGCCATGATATTTACATTATGGACCAAACAAACTGTCACTGTAAGGGAGGCAAGCAAACAACGCTTGGCACACAGCCCTACCAGCAGAGCCTCAAGGAGATTGGGAAAGAGTAATGTTAAGAGAAGATATGAAGCTGTCCCTCCAACTTTTGCTGAGTTCATCCTATAAGGCAGCAGGCTTAGCAACATAGTGAAGGATATAATTATTCTTTGTTGTTTCCTAGTCAAAATGGAGGTAGCTCAAGGCTCTGCCAAGAAGTGGTATAACATTGTGAAAATCGTGACTTTGGTCTAAAAGCTGTTAGTTGAACTAACATTCCTCCCTCTCTCCCTTTTCTGTCTCCCTCTCTCTGGTGGTACTAGGGCTGTGAACCCAGGGTCTTGTGCTTGTTAGCCAAGCACTCCATCACTGAGCTACACTTAGTCAACTACTTTTGTATGTGTGTGTGTGTATGCCAGTACTGGGGCTTAAATTTAGGGCCTCATTAGCCAGGTGCCAGTGGTTGACACCTGTAATCCTATCTACTCAGGAGGCTGAGATCTGAGGATCACAGTTCAAAGCCAGACAGGGCAGGAAAGTCCATAAGACTCTCTTTTTTTTTTTTTTTTTGTCTGTTGTGGGGGCTGAACTCTGGGCCTGGGCACTCTCCCTCGGCTCTTCAGCTCAAGGCTAGCACTCTACTACCTGAGCCACAGCACCACTTCCAGCCTTTTCTGCTTATGTGGTACTAAGGAATCAAACCCAGGGCCTCATGCATGCAAGGCAATCACTCTACCACTGAGCCACCTTCCCAGCCCTATTATTATTTTTTGAGATGAAGTTTCTTTTTGTTTTCTTTGTGATCAGTCATGGGGCTTGGCATGGGAGCATTCCCTCAGTTCTTCAGCTCGGAGCTATTGCTCTACCACTTGAGCCACAGCACCACTTCTGGTTTCTGGTGGTTAATTGGAGATAAAAGTCTCACGGACTTTGCTGCCCAGTCTGGTTTTGAGATCCTCATATCTTAGCCTCCTGAGTAGCTAAGATTACAGGCACGAGCCACTGACTTCTGGCTTGAAGTTTCTTTCTTTTTGCCAATCCTGGGGATTGAACTCAGGAGCTGGGCACTGTTCCTGAGCTTCTTTTGCTCACAGTTAGCACTCTACCACTTGAGCCACAGTGCCACTTCTGGATTGTTCTATGTATGGGGTACTGAGGAATCAACTTGAGGGTTTCATGCATGTCATACATAACTACACTCCCAGCCCTGAAGAAGTTTTCCTTTTCCTCCTCCTCCTCTTCCTCCTCCCCCTCCCCCTCCTCCTCTTCTTTCCTCCTCCTCCTCTTCTTCTTCTTTTTTGCTCCTCCTCCTCCAGGTCTAGGTGCTGTCACTGAGCTTTGTGCTCAAGCTGGCACCCAGCAAGATCGAGTTTCTTGATGTAGCCCAGGCTGGCCTCCAACTTGAGATCTTTCTGCCTCCCAAGGGCTGGGATTATATGCAAGAGCCAATATACCTAGCTTAGCTACAGGAAAATATTAATGAAATAATGTTCAAAGCTGCCTGGAGCTAGTGGCTCACGCCTGTTAGCTCCCCAGGCGGCTAAGATCTGAGGATCTCTAAGATCTGAGGATCTTGGTTCAAAGCCAGCCGTGGGCAGGAAAGTATGTGAGACTCTGACCTCCAATAAACCACTCAGAAAACCAGAAGAGGTGCTGTGGCTCAAGAGAGAGAGTGATAACCTTGAGCTGAAGAGCTGAAGGACAGCACCCAGGCCCAGAGTTCAAGCCAACAACCACCACCAACAACAAAAAGGCTAGTACTGGGGCTGGGAAGGTGGCTCAGTGGTAGAGCGCTTGCCTTGCATGCCTGAGGCCCTGGGTTTGATTCCTCAGCACCACATAAGAAAAAAGCTGGAAGTGGCGCTGTGGCTCAAATGGTAGAGTGCTAGCCTTGAGCTGAAGAGCTGAGAGACAGCGCCCAGGCCCAGAGTTCAGGCCCCACGACCGGACCCCCCCCGCCCCCCAAAAAAAGGCTAGTACTCTCCCACTTGAGTCACAGTGTCAATTCCGGTCTTTTCTGTTTATGTGGTAGTGAGGAATTGAACCTAGGGCTTCATGCACACTAAGCAAGCACTCTACCACTAAGTCACACTCTCAGTCCTACTTTTACTTTTTGAATTTCCCAAGTCTCATAGTCACAGGTCAAGCCTCCCTGCACACCCCCCACCTTTTTTTTTATTGGTTGTGGGGCTTGAACTCTTGGCCTGGGCACCGTCCCTGAACTTTTCTGCTTAAGGCAAGCACTATATCACTTGAGACACAGTGACACTTCTGTTTTTCTGGTGGTTAATTGGAGATAAGAATCCCACAGACTTTCCTGTCTGGGCTAGCTTTGATCGTGATCCTCAGATCTCAGCCTCCAGAGTAGCTAGGATTACAGGTGTGAACCACTGGTGCCTGGCTCCACCTCCACCCCCCTTTTGTGGTTAGGGACTTGAACTCAGGGCCTGGGCACTGTCTCTAAGGCTATCTGTGCCCAAGGATAGTGTTCTACCACTTGAACCACAGTTTCACTTCCAGTTCTTGAGAGGTTAATTGTATATAAGTCTCATGAGGACTATTCTGCCCCAGCTGGCTTTGAACTGCAATCCTTAGATTGCCCCTTGAGTAGCTAGGATTCCAGGCATGAGCCACTGGTGCCCAGCCAGGTCATTCCTTACTTTCTGTGGTATTATTTTCCCTAACTTGCTCCTTACTTCTGATACCTTTTCCTGTTTCCATTAAAATATATAATGACCACATGGTTAATCTAACACAAAGCCCCTTCACGAAGTATGCCCAGTATATATGAGTTGATGGAATGAAATATAGGATAAGTCAGAGAGGAGCAGGGCAACAGTGTCCTGAGAGGGGTGGGAAAGAAAGAAAGAACAATTTTCAGGAAAGCTTTGTATGAGAATTCATTTTACCATTGCTTGCTGTTGACCTTCATTGACCTTCTTATTTGAGGGAAAAAGATAATATTGGACACAGAGAAATAATTCTCTTTCCCTTGATATTCCTGTATATATCCAGATCTAGCAGCTAAAAACAGAGCTAGCATTTAAAGTCAGGTTCTTAGATCCCCTATGATTACAAGCATGAACTATCAGAGTTTCCCTCTTTCTTACTTATTTTCCATTAGGAAATCCACAACATATTTTTTCAAGCAGTAGAGATGGGCATCTACAAGACCGGTATGGAAATGTATCCTAGGGTGCCTACAAAAAAAATGAAAAGAGGTTTACAATTAGGTAACAGATTAGGTAGTATGCATCTATTAACCACTAAGGGTTGGAGCCATGCTGCCTATACCTCACCCTGGGTAGACTAGGATGTTGGGCAATTTTGATTCTACCACATAAAAACATAAAGGGGCGGGGCATTGATGGCTCACGCCTGTATACCTAGCTACTCCGTAGGCTGAGATCAGAGGATCACACTTCAAAGCCAGCCCAGACAGTAAAAGTCCATGAGACTGTAACCTCCAATAAACGACTCAGAAAACTGGATGTGGTGTTGTGGCTCAAGTGGTAGAGCGCTTGCCTTGAGCTGAAATGCTGAGGGATAGCGCCCAGGTCCAGAGTTCAAGCCCCACAACCGACAAAAAAAAAAACAACAAAAAAACCATAAAGGGTCTTCTCTCTGGAAACTCTGTATCAAACTATGAGGCTTTCAAAAACTTTGGTTAGGCATTTTACTGTTTCTACACTAAACATTTCACTTTCTGAAGGCCACACTTACATCCAAGATTTGACATGTATTACTCCATACTCATAGGAGATACAGTAAAATTTTATGAAAAATCTTTGTACTGGAGGTGGCTCAAGTGATAGAGTACCACTCTTTTTTTTTTTGGGGGGGGGTCGGTCGTGGGGCCTGAACTCTGGGCCTGGGCGCTGTCTCTCAGCTCTTCAGCTCAAGGCTAGCACTCTACCACTTGAGCCACAGCACCATTTCCGCCTTTTTTTTCTTTTTCCTTATGTGGTGCTGAGGAATCAAACCCAGGGCCTCATGCATGCAAGGCAAGCGCTCTACCACTGAGCCACCTTCCCAGCCCCTAGAGTACCACTCTTGAGTAAGAAAACTCAAGAGAACTCAATCACCTTTTCTGCAGCTCTATCTATCTATCTATCTATCTATCTATCTATCTATCTATCTATCTATCTATCTATCTATCTATCTATCTAATCTATCTATCTATCTATCTTTGTGCCAGCTCTGAGTAGAACTCAGGTCCTTACACGCTTGCCTGGCTTTTTTGCTCAAAAGATGTCACTATACCACTTGAGCCATCTCTCCCCTTCCAGGTTTTTTTTTTTTTTTTGGTTGGTCCTGGGGCTTGATCTCTGGGCCTGGGAGCTGTCCTTCAGATTGATCTCTGGGCCTGGGAGCTGTCCTTCAGATCTTCAGCTTAAGGCAAGGGAGCGTTCTACCACTTGAGCCACAGTGCCACTTCTAGTTTCCTGATGGTTAATTGGAGGTAAGGTTCCCAAAGACTTTCCTGCCCTGGCTGGCTTTGAACTGTGATTCTCATATCTCCGTCTCTTTAGTAGCTAGGATTACAGGTGTGAGCCACTGGTGCCCTGCCACTTCCAGGTTTTATTTTTTTAAATTATTATCATTATTTTTTTTTTTTGGGTCCAGTCATGGTGCCTGAACTCTGGGCCTGGGCACTGTCCCTCAGCTCTTCAGCTCAAGGCTAGCACTCTACCACTTGAGCCACAGCACCACTTCTGGCTTTTTTCTTTTTGCTTATGTGGTGCTGAGGAATCGAACCCAGGGCCTCATGCATGCAAGACAAGCGCTCTACCACTGAGCCACCTTCCCAGCCCCAACACTTCCAGGTTTTTGCTGGTTAATTGGAGATAAAAGTCTCAGATTTGTCTGTGAAAGTTGGCTTGAACCTTGATTCTCAGATCTCAGTTTCCCCAATAACTAGGATTACAGACATGAGCCACCAGTACCTAGCAATTGGACAGTTAGTTAATTAATAAAATAAAATAGTGTCTTAACTATGTGGCCCAGACCTTGAACTTATTATCTTGTTGCTTATTCTTCCCCCTTGAGTACTGAGATTACATGCATGTGCCACATTACCCAGATCCCACATTCTTTTGTAAAGTGACTTTGAAGCTCTTCCCATCAAGAAATATAGTCTACATTTCCATCTTTTGAATCTTGGCTGGACATGTTACTGCTTTGACCAAAAAGATGGTATGAAAACAATGCCATGCCAGCCCTTTTTCTTTCTTCCTTTCCTCCTTCCCTTCCCCTTCCCTCACCTTCTTTCTTTCTCTCTCTCTCTCTCTCTCTCTTTCTTTCTTTCTTTCTGTCAGTGGCAGGGCCTGAACTCTGGGCCTGGGTGCTGTCCCTCAGCTCTTCAGTTCAAGGCTAGCACTCTACTACTTGAGCCACAGTACCACTTCTGGCCTTTTCTGCTTATGTGGTGCTGAGAAATCGAACCAAGGACCTCATGCATGCAAGGTAAGCACTCTACTACTGCACCACCTTCCCAGTCCACCAGCCCTTTTTCTAATTAATGATCTCAGCTCTGCCCATAAAAATACCATACCAAAACTGGGTACTGGGTGGCTCATGCCTGTAATCCTAGTTACTCTTAGGAGTCTGAGATCTGAGGATCACAATTTGAAGCTAGCTGGGGCAGGAAAGTCCATGAGACTCTTATCTCCAATTAATCACACAACAAGTCAGAAGTGGTGCTGTGGCTCAAGTGATAAGAGTACTAGCTTGAGCAAAAGTTGCTTAGGGACAGCAGCCAGGCCAAGTTAAAGGCCCAGGATTGGCAAGAGACAAGTGGTGGGTGGGGGAAAGACATAAATTATGCCCAGATGCAATGGAAATGTGGGTCTGAGTAAAGATAAGGTTATGAGCAAGAGTAGCATGCTTGGTAAATTAGTATCAGTTAGCTAGGATTTTCCCTGAGAAGGAGAAAGTAGGGTCATGTTCTATAGTGTGGTGGAACCATGAATTTATAATGGTACTGATTTATATCATTGTACAATATCCAAACTTTAATAAATCATACTACAAAGAGGATGTTTTTAAAGCCCAACTATGTCAGTTTCAGCTGGAGAAACTGAGGCTTAGAGAAACAGAATGATTTGCTGTCAAGACTACACAGCTAGTCTCTCTGGGTGAAGCCCCAAATTCTCTGCACTTGAATTTCCAATATGATGCCAGTATTCTTCTTCACTATACAAAATGCCTCTACAACTCAGAAATGTACCAATGAGACATGTGTTTTATTGAAATCCAATGAAGTTGTAAGAATCTGAGTCCTTTGGAGTAAAGTTACAGGTACTGCTTAATGACTAAGCATGCTGGGGAGATTGCCTCTAGACCTGACCATAGGTTTAACAGGTGTCCTGCTCAATACGTGTCTTATCCTAACCCTACTTTCCAATACAAATATGCCTGGTATCTGGCAGAAACAACAAATAATATCAGACACCAAGTAATACTTTTTCTTTCTCTGAGAAAACAGATGAGATATTCCTTCATTGTTCCCTTTTTCTACAACCGTTACAAAAGTAATAAAAGTGAGAAAAGTTGTTTTTGGCTTTCCTATTTACACAAAGTCCTTTTCCAAGATAATTTTGGTCTTCATCTAATAGAAACTAGCTCCTACTTTTGGAAATTCAATTTTATAAAAAGACTGGAAGTACTATATTCTCTCATTCAAAAAGTACTTTGAAATCTGGCTGCAATTAGCTTTTACTCACCATTTCACTGAGGCAGGAGGAGTACAATGCCCCAGAGGGTCACAGAATATTTTTACTGTTTATTTATCAAGCCAGCTGCCTTATATTCCAACCACACACCCAAGATTCAGGGATGGGGGGAAAATTACAAATTAGAAGAATTAGAGAAAAATCTGCCAACAGCCAAACTTTCAACCTAGTCTTAGGAAGTACTTACCCAAGGCCTTAAAATCTATGAGGGAAAAATTCACATATACCTGTTCACCAATTTTTTTGTTTGTTTGTTTGTTTTTTGGGGTCCGGTCGTGGGGCCTGAACTCTGGGCCTGAGCGCTGTCCCTCAGCTCTTCAGCTCAAGGCCAGCGCTCTACCACTTGAGCCACAGCGCCACTTGGGATTGAACCCAGGCCCTTGTACTTGCTAAGCAAGTGCTCTACCACTTGAGGTACATATCTAGTCCCTTTTCCCATTTTATTTATTGATTGATTGCTGTACTAGGGATTGAACGCAAAATCTTGTGCTTGGTAGGTAAGCACTTTACCCCTTAAGCGATGACTTCAAGCTCAAGGCTAGGCACTCTACCACTTGAGCCACACTCCCAGCCCTGATAAACTCATCTCCAATTAACCACCAGAAAACCATAAGTGGTGCTGTGGCTCCAAGTGGTAGAGCACTAGTCTTGAGCAAAAGAAGCTCAGCGACAGTGTCCAGGCTCTGAGTTCAAGTCCCAGCTCTGGCCAAAAAAAAAAAAAGAAAGAAAGAAAAAAAAAAGAAAGAGTTCCACAACTTTTTCTGCCTGAGCTGGCTCTGAACCCCAATCCTCAAATCTTAGCTTTCTGAGTAACTAGAATTATAGGCATGAGCCATTTACACCCAGCAACTGGCTCTTTTTTTTGGGGGGGGGTTGTGGGTCTTGAATTCTGGGCCTGGGCATTGTCCCTCAGCTCTTCAGCTCAAGGCTAGTGCTCTACCACTTGAGTCACAGTGCCACTTCCGGCTTTTTTCTTTTTTGCTTTATGTGGTGCTGAGGAATCGAACCCAGGGCCTCATGCATGCAAGGCAAGCACTCTACCACTGGGCCACCTTCCCAGCCCCCAGACTGGCTCATTTTTAAGATAGAGTATCACTAACTTTTTGCCCTAGCAGGTCTCAAATTGCTATCCTCTTGTCTACCTTCTAAGTAGCTAGGATTATAGGTGTATGCCATTATATAGGGCCAAACTATTTTATTTTTTCAGTGATGGGGATTGAATTCAGGGCATTGCATGTGGTAAGCAAGTGATCTACTACTGAGCTACACTGTCAACTCCTTTTTCAAAAATGTTTTCAATAATTATTAAAAAGGAAATATACAGAGGATGTCAGCACTTTTTTGGGACAGGGATTCACTCTCTTTGCATTACAGGCTGGTTTCCAACTTCTGATCCTATCTCTGCCTCCAAAGGAGCTAGTATTACAGGTGTGTGCCACCACTTCTGGCTCTTTTCCTTATTTCTATGTCCATCTTCTTTGCTCCTATTATGTACAAGCCTTGCTCTCTTTGTTAGACTATTGGGATTAAGACATTTACTTAATCACTACATGGAACCATAAACTAGTTCTGTAAGAGGTTAAAAAAAAAAAGAGCAGAAAAAAGGATACTAGTGGGGCACTGGTGGCTCTTGCTTGTAATTCTTGCTATTCAGGAGGCTGAGATCTCAAGATTGCTGTTCAAAGTCAGCCCATGCAGAAACATCCATGAGACTCTTATCTCTAATTAACCAGAAAACCGGAAATGGTACTGTGGCTCAAAGTGATAGAATGCTAGCTTTGAGGAAAATGAGCTCATGGACAGCGCTCAGGCCCAGAGTTCAAGCCACACGACCGACAAAAAAAAAGGAAAGAAATTTACTTATCACCTGATGTGGAAGAAATAGTTGTCTTGGCAAAGCTCATAGAATTCACAAACATTATAGACCATAATAAAGACAATTTGCCTTGTGAAGGTTAAAATGTGTTTGTGACTTTTTTTTTTCCTGCTTATGTGGTGCTGAGGAATCGAACCCAGGGCCTCAGGCATGCAAGGCAAGCGCTCTACCACTGAGCCACCTTCCCAGCCCGTGTTTGTGACTTTAAGTATCACTATCTCACAATACTGTGACATTTGTGAAATTTATATAATCACTTAATCTCAATAAAAAATTATTAATAAAAATAGTAATTGGTTTATGTTCATTATCTCATTTATTCCTCAATATTGTATTATTATTTTACAGATGAGAAAACAAAAGTACTAATATAGAACTTTTATCCATAGAAGTAACTGGGCCTAACTGAAGCCAGAGCTTAGTTTGATTTTACTAAATTATTTACTCTGAAATATATATATTCCTATCTCTGGTGTGTTAGATAGCAGAGGCAAAAAGTAAGATATTTCTTTTCCTAAATTAGTTATCTCATATTCACCCTACATAGGCCCCAATATATGTATTTTTGTTGTTGTTGTTGTTTTTTGGGGGGGTGGTCCGGTCGTGG